TCCTCCTCCTCGTCTTCCTCCTCATCCTCGTCCTTTCCCGAGCCATACAATAACAACTTCCGTGGAATCCCTCTCGGGCCCATCTTGGGGCTCTCTTGGGCCGCCTGTGGAGCCTCTTGTGATTTTGTGGGGAGCCTCGTCCCGTCGCTCGCTGGGAGTTTGACGTAGCTTCTCGGGAGCCTCTGAACCTGTCGGGGGCTTCCTGGAAGCAGGTTCGAAGGATTTTGGGGGCCGATTTGGGGCTTCTCGGGGCCTCCTTTGGGCCTCTTGGGGGTCTCCTGGGGCCTCTTGAGGGGCCTCCTGGGGGCCTCCTGGCGGCCTCTTGGGGCGGAAGGCTCGAGCTTGCGGTTCGTGGTCCCCCTCTGGGCCCCCTCTTGGGCCCGTCTTGGGGCCCTCTTGGGCCATCTTGGGCGCCTCTTGGGCCGTCTTGGGGCCCTCTTGGGCTGTCCTGGGGCCCTCTTGGAAGCTTCTTGGGCCGTCTTGGGGCGGTCTTGGGCGCCTCTTGGGCCGTCCTGTAACGTCGGAAAGCCCAAAAGACAACTTTGTTGAAAATGTACGTTTTACGAAGGGAATGGGCCAATTTTGCGTCTAGGGGCCCTCTTGGGACGCATGTTGGAGGCTTCTTGGGGCCTCTTGGGGGCGTCCTTGGACGTCTGGGGTCTCCTGGGGCCTCTTGAGGGGCCTCCTGGGGGCCTCCTGGCGGCCTCTTGGGGCGGAAGGCTCGAGCTTGCGGTTCGTGGTCCCCCTCTGGGCCCCCTCTTGGGCCCGTCTTGGGGCCCTCTTGGGCCATCTTGGGCGCCTCTTGGGCCGTCTTGGGGCCCTCTTGGGCTGTCCTGGGGCCCTCTGGGAAACTTCTTGGGCCGTCTTGGGGCGGTCTTGGGCGCCTCTTGGGCCGTCCTGTAACGTCGGAAAGCCCAAAAGGCGACTTTGTTAAAAATGTACGTTTTACGAAGGGAATGGGCCAATTCTTGCGTCTAGGGGCCCTCTTGGGACGCATGTTGGAGGCTTCTTGGAGCCTCTTGGGGGCGTCCTTGGACGTCTGGGGTCTCCTGGGGCCTCTTGAGGGGCCTCCTGGGGGCCTCCTGGCGGCCTCTTGGGGCGGAAGGCTCGAGCTTGCGGTTCGTGGTCCCCCTCTGGGCCCCCTCTTGGGCCCGTCTTGGGGCCCTCTTGGGCCATCTTGGGCGCCTCTTGGGCCGTCTTGGGGCCCTCTTGGGCTGTCCTGGGGCCCTCTGGGAAGCTTCTTGGGCCGTCTTGGGGCGGTCTTGGGCGCCTCTTGGGCCGTCCTGTAACGTCGGAAAGCCCAAAAGACAACTTTGTTGAAAATGTACGTTTTACGAAGGGAATGGGCCAATTTTTGCGTCTAGGGGCCCTCTTGGGACGCATGTTGGAGGCTTCTTGGGGCCTCTTGGGGGCGTCCTTGGACGTCTGGAGGCCATCTTCAGCATCTCGGAGCCCTCTTGGAGGCCTCTTGGAAGTTTCTTGGGCCGTCTTGGGCGCTTCTTGGGCCGTCTTGTCTGACTGGGGAGGCCTCCGGCAAGCCCCGACGAGCCTCCGGGCCCCCCGGGGCGCACATTTGTGGTCGAGGTCCCGGCCCCGGGCCCCCGGACCCGGTGCGCCGTTATATGTATACTAGAACCACGCGCGCGCATCGCGCGCGCTTAGGTTCTGTCGAGTCACAGACCCAGGAATCGCTGCGAGAAGAAATTGGTGACGCGAAGCGTCTTGGGGGCGTCCTTGGACGTCTGGGGTCTCCTGGGGCCTCTTGAGGGGCCTCCTGGGGGCCTCCTGGCGGCCTCTTGGGGCGGAAGGCTCGAGCTTGCGGTTCGTGGTCCCCCTCTGGGCCCCCTCTTGGGCCCGTCTTGGGGCCCTCTTGGGCCATCTTGGGCGCCTCTTGGGCCGTCTTGGGGCCCTCTTGGGCTGTCCTGGGGCCCTCTTCCCGTCTTGGGGCCCTGTTGGGCCATCTTGGGCGCCTCTTGGGCCGTCTTGGGGCCCTCTTGGGCTGTCCTGGGGCCCTCTTGGAAGCTTCTTGGGCCGTCTTGGGGCGGTCTTGGGCGCCTCTTGGGCCGTCCTGCAACGTCGGAAAGCCCAAAAGACAACTTTGTTGAAAATGTACGTTTTACGAAGGGAATGGGCCAATTTTGCGTCTAGGGGCCCTCTTGGGACGCATGTTGGAGGCTTCTTGGGGCCTCTTGGGGGCGTCCTTGGACGTCTGGGGTCTCCTGGGGCCTCTTGAGGGGCCTCCTGGGGGCCTCCTGGCGGCCTCTTGGGGCGGAAGGCTCGAGCTTGCGGTTCGTGGTCCCCCTCTGGGCCCCCTCTTGGGCCCGTCTTGGGGCCCTCTTGGGCCATCTTGGGCGCCTCTTGGGCCGTCTTGGGGCCCTCTTGGGCTGTCCTGGGGCCCTCTTGGAAGCTTCTTGGGCCGTCTTGGGGCGGTCTTGGGCGCCTCTTGGGCCGTCCTGTAACGTCGGAAAGCCCAAAAGACAACTTTGTTGAAAATGTACGTTTTACGAAGGGAATGGGCCAATTTTTGCGTCTAGGGGCCCTCTTGGGACGCATGTTGGAGGCTTCTTGGGGCCTCTTGGGGGCGTCCTTGGACGTCTGGGGTCTCCTGGGGCCTCTTGAGGGGCCTCCTGGGGGCCTCCTGGCGGCCTCTTGGGGCGGAAGGCTCGAGCTTGCGGTTCGTGGTCCCCCTCTGGGCCCCCTCTTGGGCCCGTCTTGGGGCCCTCTTGGGCCATCTTGGGCGCCTCTTGGGCCGTCTTGGGGCCCTCTTGGGCTGTCCTGGGGCCCTCTGGGAAACTTCTTGGGCCGTCTTGGGGCGGTCTTGGGCGCCTCTTGGGCCGTCCTGTAACGTCGGAAAGCCCAAAAGGCGACTTTGTTAAAAATGTACGTTTTACGAAGGGAATGGGCCAATTTTGCGTCTAGGGGCCCTCTTGGGACGCATGTTGGAGGCTTCTTGGGGCGTCTTGGGGGCGTCCTTGGACGTCTGGGGTCTCCTGGGGCCTCTTGAGGGGCCTCCTGGGGGCCTCCTGGCGGCCTCTTGGGGCGGAAGGCTCGAGCTTGCGGTTCGTGGTCCCCCTCTGGGCCCCCTCTTGGGCCCGTCTTGGGGCCCTCTTGGGCCATCTTGGGCGCCTCTTGGGCCGTCTTGGGGCCCTCTTGGGCTGTCCTGGGGCCCTCTTGGGCTTCTTGGGGCGGTCTTGGGCGCCTCGTGGGCCGTCCTGTAACGTCGGAAAGCCCAAAAAGCAACTTTGTTGAAAAATGTACGTTTTACGAAGGGAATGGGCCAATTTTTGCGTCTAGGGGCCCTCTTGGGACGCATGTTGGAGGCTTCTTGGGGCCTCTTGGGGGCGTCCTTGGACGTCTGGAGGCCATCTTCAGCATCTCGGAGCCCTCTTGGAGGCCTCTTGGAAGTTTCTTGGGCCGTCTTGGGCGCTCCTGGGGCCGTCTTGTCTGACCGGGGAGGCCTCCGGCAAGCCCCGACGAGCCTCCGGGCCCCCCGGGGCGCACATTTGTGGTCGGGGTCCCGGCCCCGGGCCCCCGGACCCGGTGCGCCGTTATATGTATATGCTATGTGTCCGCCTTGGAGGCGCGCGTCCGACCCGAGCATATAGTACACCCATCGTGTAGTATTACATCGTTTCCCGAGCGGTGTGGCCAGAAAGCGCCGCCCGCCACGATGCATATACTGCAAGCGTTCTCGGTGCGCGCGTCGCCCCCCGGGGGCGACGCACATATAGTAGACGTATGCTGGGGTGACGTCGATTCGGGGGGTGGGAATGCGGAACTCGGAACGACGGCGACGTCTCTCAGTGGAGGAGCAGGAGGAGGAGCAGCAGGAGGAGCAGGAGGAGCAGGAGGAGCAGGAGGACAAGGAGGAGGAGGAGGCTCGGAGGAAAGGGAGAAGGAGGAGACGGATTGGACCGAGGAGGGAGGCAGAGAGAGGAACGAGGGAGAAGCGAGGCAGGGAGGGAGGGAGGGAGGGAGGAGCCCCCCGGCGGCCAGGCTGCCTTCGCCGCAGGGGAGGTCTGGAAAGCCGCCGCTGAAGCGTTCATGCCCTGGCGCGCCGTCGCGCGAGAGCCCCATCCCCCTATGCGGAGGAGGTGGGAGGAGGAGGAGGAGGAGGAGGAGGAGGAGGAGGAGGAGGAGGAGGAGGAGGACCAGTGTAAACCTAAGACTTATCAGCGATGTTGGAATAAACCCTCCCTCAAAGCTCCTTCTTCGTAGGCCCCTAGAAAGTTCATTGACGAAGACGAGGATGCCCCGTTAGGAAACAACCGTCTGAAGATTCTGAAACGTGCACCAACACCATCCTCTATCAAAACTCCACGGCCAGGAATCAACCCGACTGTTGCGTCTTGACGATCCTGATGAATCGTGCCAGAACACGATTCCTGGGACTTCAAAACTGCAAATCAACGTAATTGTCGCGCCCTGACAGTCCGACATCGTGCCAATACACAATGTCTGGTACGTTAACTATGGGACCCGACGACGTCGAGCAACCTAGTCAACGCTCCTCCAAGCTCACCGCTAGGCTGACGTTTGACAACGAAAACACTGATTGCTAAACATCTGCTGAGCCAGCCCCCATGAAACACTGAATTAGCTTGAGCCAGGGAAGTTGCGAAGTGGCGAACAAGGCAGGAGAAAAAAGAGGAAGATAAGCACGGTGAAACAGGAACCGGCACCGGAACACTCGCGAAGCGATATCAAATACCACATCCCTTATCTCTCAGAACTTCCCGAGCGCTAAGACGGGACAAGAGCCGAAGAAGACGAAACAGATGTAGGACACTCAACGATGACGCCATCTAGTGGGGCCCCCCTCTCTGAGCTCCACGGGAAAAGCGACGACATGAATGAGTGCTACGAAGAAGGGCCCCCACACCAGCCCAAGATCTGGAATGCGGTCACCATCTGTCCCGCACCTCCACACTCTAATATTGAATGGATCGAAGCACGTGCGTGCAGGACCCCAGTGGATGCCCCACTGCTGCTTGCAACCATCAACAAGCGGGGCGGCAGGTGGAGCAGGCATCGGCGCTGCTCTCGCCGCTGCAGCCGTGGTCTCGCCGAGATTGCGGAACAATGAGGCAAGGCCAGTGCTCTGGAAGTATCAGCAGCGGCAGGCCGAGAAACACGACGTAGTCCACGCGGATCCCGTAGAGCATCGACGTCTCGCAAAAGACTTCCCCGCTCAGCTGCCCAGACCGCGTCGACCTCGGGATCCGTGCCTGAGGGGTCATGTTAATCAGTGCCCCTGCTGCGGGCGACCTCGGCGTCGAATCGCGCACGGCGGCGAACAAATGGCTGCCCCTTGGCCAGGGGCCGATCCACTCATGGAAAGCCGACCACCCGCAGGTTGAGCTCCTCAAGCGGCACGAAACATTCCGCATCGGACCTGAACTCGAAGTGCTTTTTCCGCTGCGAGCCGAGGCGTCCCCGTCCCGCGCGGCGCGCCAGCAGAAGGCCCAGCACAGGACGAGAAAGCCAGCGCGTCACGTGTGCACCTCGTGCCAAGCGCCTTGGGCACACTCGGCGGCGCCGCGGCATGCTCCTCGAGCTCCACCGCCTGCTCCGCCACCCTCCAGCGCCTGCAGGACGGGGCGAGATCCCGCTGCTGCCTCTGCGTTGCTCGCAGACTCCGCGGCCAGCGGCTCGTGACGTGCCCTGTCGGCCGCCTCTGATGCCGCGCCGGTGAGCTCAACTCTTGGGGTGAACGTCGAGGAGCTGCTCAACAGAGCGTATCGCGCCCCCTCGTCTGCGAGAATGCGTCTCCGGGCCAGCATCCAGCTGCGCATGAACCAGTAGCGCCGCCCGGAGCGACCGTAGCCGCTGGGCGAGCTCATACGTTCGGGAGGTGGAGGTAGGACGTCGATGGCCTGCTGCGCGCGCAAATCGGTCGTGCGAGGCTGCTGTAGCAGCTCGACCTTGGCATTCAGCTGCTCCACTTCCTGACGAGCCACGGCGAAGCCACGGTTCGCAGCGGCGCGGGCCCGCCTCTGCGCAGCCGAGCGCTGCGCCCTCGAACGACGTAGACAAACTCCAGGATCACCAGAGGGCGACCCCTCCGGCGCCATCACAAGCCTCTTCAAGACCCTGCAGCGCCACACTTCGGACCGCCCGTGCGCGGGGGAACTGGCGACCACGGGGCTTGAGGCTGGCTTGAGCCAAAATGACTACGGACATCAGCGCGTTGGATGGGAGAAGACAGGAGGAGGGGGGGAGGAGGCACAATAGAAATGGGAGGAAGACGAGGAGGAGGAGGAGGAGCAGCAGCAGCAGGAGCAAGAGCAGGAGCAAGATCAGGAGCAGGAGAGCGGAGGCTTTCACTCCCTCTCCTCCCCTTTCTTCTTTTCCCTTCCCTCCCGCTCCTCCTTCCCACGATCCCTCTCTCCATCCTAGTCTTTCTCGACCCCCCCCCTCCCAGCCGAGTGCGAGGATGGATGGGGAGGACCCCCGCGATACAGACACGCCCCCCCCCCCTCACGGATCGCATCACTGGTCGCTGCCAGCTGCAGCTGTCGCGGAGGGGTGCCCCCGAGTTCGGCTTCGCAGACAGCGCCGAGGGCTCGCACCGTCGCCCTCCCCTGGGCGACACCCACCAAAACCCCCTTTTGTCTCATAGTCCTCCTCCTCCTTCTCGTCCTCCTCGTCCTCCTCGTCCTCATCGTCTTCCTCCTCCTTCTCATCCTCCTCCTCCTCTTCCTCCTCCCTCCTCTTCTTCCTCCTCCTCCTCCCACGTAGAGCCCCCCCTTCCCGTAAAGCTGCACATCGGGAGGGGATCATTATCACTCTATACAATACTCTACTCAGTTCAAGTTCTGGTATTGGAAGTTGTGTGGATGGTATGCCTCTGCCGTGCTGCGCGAACTGGGCAGAGAGTGACCCGTCGCAGTTCTCCCACCCGTGCAGAATACCTCAGCAGGATGGGGTCTATAGCCCCTAAAGTATAAGTGCAGCAGGGAAGCGACAGCGCGGTAGATTGTAATGTAGATGCCTCGTGTGGTTCACGTTGGTTGGCATGCTTGGAATTCGCCACATGGCCATACTCATACTCAGATTCATTCCCTCTCGCTCTCGCTCTCTCTCTCTCTCTCGTTGTTCTATCTCTCTCTCTCTCTCCCTCCCTTCCTTCCTCCCTTCCCCCCCCTCCCTTCAATTTCTCCTCTCCCGTCTTCAATCCCCTCCCCCTCCACCCCCCTGGCCCCGTGAATCCCGACGCTCTTGCTCTTATACCTCCTCTCCCTCCTCCTCCTCCAACGTCCTACCCCCCCCCCCGCATCTTCCTCCTGTTCCGTCTTCTCATCCTCCTCCTTACCCCTCCTCCTCTTCGTCATCATCACCGCCACCAGCATTACAAACATCATAAGCATCGTCGTCATCGTCACCATCATCATCATGAGCATCCTCATCCTCACGATCACCTGTATCGCATTGCCATCCGCAGCAACATCAACACCGTCATCACCATCATCTACAGCTTCATTTTCATCCGCACCTACATCTTCATCTTCATCTTCACATCCCTCGCCAACACCATCATCATCACCACCATCGTCATCGTCCTCGGCATCGTCATCGGCACCATCAGCATCATCGTCAGCATCAGCAGCATCATCATCAGCATCGTCAGCATCATCCTCATCCTAATCCTTGTCCTTTTCCTCGTCATCACCATCCTGATGCGTCCACTGTCATTCCTTATTCGTGCCGCCCTCCCACTGCTCATCCTCACCCTGGCTGTCATCATCAGCGCCATCATGAGTGTCACATTGTTCATCGCAGCCATCATCCTCATCGTCACCAGCTGCACAACCGTAATCCTCATCCCCCTTGTCATCCTCTTCATCAGAACTGTAATCACTAACATCGTGACAACCCTCACCATCATCACGCTTATCACCATCACCATCGTCATCGTAATCCTCGCAACCATCATCATCGCCACCCTCGTCGTCACCATCGCCGGTAACAGCATGATAAGCACAGTCCGAATCAGCATCATCATGATCAGCAGCAGTATCATCGGCATCATCATCATCAGCATCACCATTATCATCCTCACCATCATCATCATCATCATCAACATCGCCATCATCACCGCCATCATCATCACGACCACCATCATCATGGTCGCCAACGTGATCACCACCATCATAGTTATCATCATCACACCATTACCATCACCGTCGAAAGTGTCCTCACCATCCGCAACACCATCAGCAACACCACTATCATCTTACTCATCATCAGCATCAGCAGCAGCAGCACCAGCAACACCATCATCATCAGCATCATCATCCCATTCACCATCGTCGTCGCCATCATCAGCATCAGCAGTATCCGCAACATCATCGTCATCATCACCAGCATCAGCAGCATCAGCAGCAGCATCATCATCATCACCATCAGCATCATCATCGTCATCGTCATCATGCTGCTCATCATTATCAGCATCACCATCAGCATCAGCATCATCAGTCTCATCATCACCACCACCATCTCCATCATCTTCATCGTCATCAGCGTTGCTAGCATCATCATCATCAGCAGCATCAGCATCAGCATCAGCATCAGCATCAGCATCAGCATCAGCATCAGCATCAGCATCATCATCATCATCATCATCATCATCATCATCATCATCATCATCATCATCCACATCAGCATCATCATCACCATCGTCATCACCATCACCATCAGCATCATTGGCAGCAGCATCATCGTCATCATCAGCAGCATCATCATCAGCCATCATCATCATCATCATCATCATCATCATCATCATCATCACCATCACCATCACCATCATCATCATCATCATCATCATCATCATCATCATCATCATCGTCATCGCGTAGGCTCTTCTGTGCTGGTAGTGCCTGGGGCAGGTCGTTCCTGTCGCATTCAAAGGTGCTGCGGCACGCGGCGGGATGCAGCAATCTCGCCGCAGCGCTGCGAGGTTCATGCTTGAAGCTGCACACCAATATGGTCGGCTCCCCGCCTGTGCCCACGTAGACGTTGATTGTCTTCTGACGCCTACGCGACCACAGATCGTCATCCTCCTGCACCTGGCCGGGCAGTTTGACAACGGCGGTGCAGCGGTTCCCGTCCACCCACTCCTGCGGGCTCCAGGTGTCTCAGATACGCTGGCGGCATCGGCGACAGGCAGTCATGGGTTCGGCATGTCCATCTGATGCCAGTACGTTGCCTTCCTATGTCCGCGCATTCAATGTCAGTGTTGCGATTGACTCCCATTCGCGGCGGCCCCTGCTCGCGGCACGGGCGGCCCCCTACAGGCGGCTCCTGCCATTGGAAGCGGCTACTGACCGAGGCTCCCACTTGCGGCTGCTTTTGGCGGCGGCTCCCACTTTCGGCCGCTCCTACGCAGGCGGCTCCCACCCACTCGCAGTTCCCACTGGCGGCAGTTCCTTTGCAGGCGGCTCCCACTGGCCCTCCGACTGGCGGCGGTTTCTACGCAGACGTTCAAACGCAAGCGCTTCCCACTGGCGGTTTCCAGTAGTGGCGGTTCCTACCCAAGCGGTTTCCTACGCAGGCGGCTCCGACTGGCGACGGCGTCTACCCAGGCGGCTTCCACTGGCGGTTCCCACTGACCCTCCCGCTGGCGGCGGTTCGTACGCTGTCGGCTCTAGCTGGCCCCCGTCCATCCAGCGGCGGCTCCTACGCAAACGTTCCCACACACGCGTTTCCCACTGGCGCTTCCTGCCCGGGCGGTTCCTACGCAAGCGGCTCCAACTGGCAGCAACTACTACGCAAACGGCTCCCATTGCGCCTCCCACTGGCGGCTGCTCCTACCATGGCGGCTTCCACACGACCATACATCATCATTATCATCATCATCATCATCACCACCACCACCACCACCACCATCATCATCATCATCATCATCATCATCATCATCATCATCATCATCATCATCATCATCATCATCATCATCATCATCATCATCATCATCATCATCCTTATCCTCATCATCATCATC